CCCCTGTTGCCATGGCAGCGGGAACACGAGCGCACAGGGCCCACAGTGTCTGAGGATGGACGTTGGCGCAGAAAGGCAGAGACCAACTGACTACATAGGTGGTTTTTATAGTACTTTATTTTGGCCTCCCTCTCAGCAGGTGTGAAAAAGGCCACCATTTTTTGAACGGTAGCGAGGGTCCAACAAGGTGGACAGCCAAAAGTCAACCCCTCTGTCTTGATGGTTATTATTCGGCTGTCGCTACGCAAGCAACCGAGCATGCTATGGGCCATTTGTGCCAAGGAATGCGAGGGACTCCCTGCCTCCATCTCCACAGCATACTGCCCAACGGTTGCGTACTGGGTCCTCTGTCTCCTCCTCGCTCCTCTACCAGATGCTCCTGCCCCTCCACTCCTGTCCGCTGAGTGGAAAAAACCACCCATTTCACTCAATAATTCCTGAGCACCAATGTCCTCCTCTACCTCCTCCTCTTCTTCCTGTCCTGCCCCCACAGGGGTCATGCGGCGTTGAGATCTGTGCGCCACGTCTACCGCACCCTGACCAGCCATTGTTACACAGCATTTGTTCCAGGACGTGCAACAGAGGAATGACGTCGTTCATCCCATAGTCCTGCCGGACTCAGGAATAGCGTGGCCTCCTCAAATGGTCTGAGCAAGCGGCAGGTGTCACGCATGAGCTGCCAATGGCTGACATCTAAGTTACACAGGGGGAGTACCTTTATCCGCTTGTAACATCAGGAAATCGGTGATGGCCTTTCGCTGTTCGTAAAGGCGGTCTAACATATGTAGGGTTGAATTCCACACCTTGTTGCAACGTCACAGCATGAGGAGTCGGTACGGGGGCCCATGCAGATTACGGGCCTGGCAGCAGCAATGGGAGGCCCGTAATCTGCCAGCACCCTATGACAAAATGGAACACACAGCAGTGTGAGGAGACCTGAAAGTGGCACATGGCAGAGTGTGGCGATGGAGACAGCAGCAATGGGAGGCCGTACAGGGACCCATGACAGATTTACGGGCCTGGCAGCGAGCATGAGGAGGCGGGGTAGGTACAGGGGCCCATGGACAGATTACGGGCCTGGCAGCAGCAATGGGAGGCCCGTAATCTGCCAGCACCCTATGACAAAATGGAACCCACCCAGCAGTGTGAGGAGAACCTGAAAGTGGCACATGGCAGAGTGTGGCGATGGAGACAGCAGCAATGGGAGGCCGTACAGGGACCCATGACAGATTACGGGCCTGGCAGCAGCATGAGGAGGCGGTTAATTTTGGGTAATAAGGTTTAAAGGGGCCCATGACAGATTTCGGGCCTGGCAGCAGCAATGGGAGGCCCGTAATCTGCCAGCACCCTATGACAAAATGGAACACACCACAGCAGTGTGAGGAGACCTGAAAGTGGCACATGGCAGAGTGTGGCGATGGAGACAGCAGCAATGGGAGGCCGTACAGGGACCCATGAGAGACTCTGGACCTGGCAGCAGCATGAGGAGGCGGTACGGGGGCCCATGGCAGATTACGGGCCTGGCATAGCAGCAATGGGAGGCCCGTAATCTGCCAGCACCCTATGACAAAATGGAACCCACAGCAGTGTGAGGAGACCTGAAAGTGGCACATGGCAGAGTATGTGGCGATGGAGACAGCAGCAATGGGAGGCCGTACAGGGACCCATGACAGATTACGGGCCTGGCTAGCAGCATGAGGAGGCGGGGTACAGGGGCCCATGGCAGATTACGGGCCTGGCAGCAGCAATGGGAGGCCCGTAATCTGCCAGCACCCTTATGACAAAAATGGAAACACACCAGCAGTGTGAGGAGACCTGAAAGTGGCACATGGCAGAGTGTGGCGATGGAGACAGCAGCAATGGGAGGCCGTACAGGGACCCATGAGAGACTCTGGACCTGGCAGCAGCATGAGGAGGTGGTACGGGGGCCCATGGCAGATTACGGGCCTGGCAGCAGCAATGGGAGGGCCCGACTAATCTGCCAGCAAAAAAAAACCCTCATGACAAAATGGAACACACCAGCAGTGTGAGGAGACCTGAAAGTGGCACATGGCAGAGTTGTGTGGCGATGGAGACAGCAGCAATGGGAGAGCGCCGTACAGGGACCCATGACAGATTACGGGCCTGGCTAGCAGCATGAGGAGGCGGGTACAGGGGCCCATGGCAGATTACGGGCCTGGCAGCAGCAATGGGTCCCGTAATCTGCCAGCACCCCATGACAAAATGGAACACACCAGCAGTGTGAGGAGACCTGAAAGTGGCACATGGCAGAGTGTGGCGATGGAGACAGCAGCAATGGGAGGCCGTACAGGGACCCATGAGAGACTCTGGACCTGGCAGCAGCATGAGGAGGCGTCTGGGGGTGTACAGGGGCCCATGACAGATTACGGGCCTGGCAGCAGCATGAGGAGTCGGTACGGGGGCCCATGGCAGATTACGGGCCTGGCAGCAGCAATGGGAGGCCCGTAATCTGCAAGCACCCTATGACAAAATGGAACCTCAGCAGTGTGAGGAGACCTGAAAGTGGCACATGGCAGAGTGTGGCGATGGAGACAGCAGCAATGGGAGGCTGTACAGGGACATGAACCATCTGGACCTGGCAGCACTCTGGGACCTGGCCCATGCTTACGGGCCTGGCAGCAGCATGAGGAGTCGGTATACGGGGGCCCTTGGCAGATTACAAGGGCCTGGCAGCAGCAATGGGAGGCCCGTAAGTCTGCCAGCACCTATGACAAATGGAACACACCCAGCAGTGTGAGGAGACCTGAAAGTGGCACATGGCAGAGTGTGGCGATGAAGTCAGCAGCAATGGGAGGCCGTACCAAATAGACACACTTGACCCATGACACACTCTTGGACCTGGCAGCAGCAAGCATGAGGGGGCGGTACAGGGGGCCCATGGCAGAGTGGCGAAGCGTAAGCAGCTTAAATTGAAGGCCATACAGAGGCCTATGTTAAAAATGGAATTAACACTGTTTGGGGCATGATTCATGGCGGATTTAGTCAGTTGTGTGTCAGGAACAAACTGGTGGTTTGAAATCCAGACTAATCCACGCCTGATTCATTTTCACAAACGTGAGTCTCTCCACACTTTGGGTGTGGACAGTTCGTGTCCTCCGCGGAGTTACAATACCTCCTGCCGCACTAAACACGCGCTCCGATGCCACGCTACTGGCCGGGCATGACAGCCTTTCAAGGGCAAATTCAGCTAGTTGGGGCCAAAAGGTCAAGTTTCGTTGCCCAGTAGTCAAGGGGATTGTCTACCTCGGTTGGCAGGGTGCTGTCCAAGTAGGCCCGAGCCTGTTGTGAGGTTTGAGGTCCTGCTCCAGGTCCACCTGATGCTGCTGCTGCTGGTTAGTAGTTTCCTCACTGCGCTGGTGAAGAAAGCTACTCATCATCGACTGCAGACTGAGGCAGCTGCTGCTGGTGGAGCTGCCATGCTCCTACCACCCCACCCCTCCCTGCTACCATGGCAGCGGAACGCTGAGCGCACAGGGCCCACAGTGTCTATTCTGAGGATGGACGTGTTGGCGCAGAAGGGCAGAGACCAACTGACTACATAGGTGGTTTTTATAGTACTTTATTTTGGCCTCCCTCTCAGCAGGTGTGAAAAAGGCCACCATTTTTGAACGGTAGCGAGGGGTCCAACAAGGTGGACAGCCAAAAGTCATCCCTCTGTCTGATGGTTATTATTCGGCTGTCGTACGCAAGCAACCGAGCATGCTATGGGCCATTTTGTGCCAAGGAATGCGAGGGACTCCCTGCCTCCATCTCCACGTCATACTGCCACGGTGCGTCTGGGTCCTCTGTCTCCTCCTCCTCCTCTACCAGATGCTCCTGCTCCTCCACTCCTGTCCGCTGAGTGGAAAAAAACCACCCATTTCACTCAATAATTCCTGTGCACCAATGTCCTCCTCTACCTCCTCCTCTTCTTCCTGTCCTGCCCCCACAGGGGTCATGTGGCGTTGAGATCTGTGCGCCCATGTCTACCGCACCCTGACCAGCCATTGTTAACAGCATTTGTTCCAGGACGTGCAACAGAGGAATGACGTCGTTCATCCCATAGTCCTGCCGACTCACGAATAGCGTGGCCTCCTCAAAGGGTCTGAGCAAGCGGCAGGTGTCACGCATGAGCTGCCAATGGCTGACATCTAAGTTACACAGGGGAGTACCTTTATCCGCTTGTAACATCAGGAAATGTCGGTGATGGCCTTTCGCTGTTCGTAAAGGCGGTCTAACATATGTAGGGTTGAATTCCACCTTGTTGCAACGTCACAGCATGAGGAGTCGGTACGGGGGCCCATGGCAGATTACGGGCCTGGCAGCAGCAATGGGAGGCCCGTAATCTGCCAGCACCCTATGACAAAATGGAAACACACCAGCAGTGTGAGGAGACCTGAAAGTGGCACATGGCAGAGTGTGGCGATGGAGACAGCAGCAATGGGAGGCCGTACAGGGACCCATGAGAGACTCTGGACCTGGGGACTGGCAGCAGCATGAGGAGGTGGTACGGGGGCCCATGGCAGATTACGGGCCTGGCAGCAGCAATGGGAGGCCCGTTAGGGCGTAATCTGCCAGCACCCTATGACAAAATGGAACCCACCAGCAGTGTGAGGAGACCTGAAAGTGGCACATGGCAGAGAGTGTGGCGATGGAGACAGCAGCAATGGGAGGCCGTACAGGGACCCATGACAGATTACGGGCCTGGCAGCAGCATGAGGAGGCGGTTGGTACAGGGGCCCATGGCAGATTACGGGCCTGGCAGCAGCAATGGGAGGCCCGTAATCTGCCAGCACCCTATGACAAAATGGAACACCACCAGCAGTGTGAGGAGACCTGAAAGTGGCACATGGCAGAGTGTGGCGATGGAGACAGCAGCAATGGGAGGCCGTACAGGGACCCATGAGAGACTCTGGACCTGGCAGCAGCATGAGGAGGCGGTACGGGGGCCCATGGCAGATTACGGGCCTGGCAGCAGCAATGGGAGGCCCGTAATCTGCCAGCACCCTATGACAAAATGGAACACACCAGCAGTGTGAGGAGACCTGAAAGTGGCACATGGCAGAGTGTGGCGATGGAGACAGCAGCAATGGGAGGCCGTACAGGGACCCATGACAGATTACGGGCCTGGCAGCAGCATGAGGAGGCGGTACAGGGGCCCATGGCAGATTACGGGCCTGGCAGCAGCAATGGGAGGCCCGTAATCTGCCAGCACCCCATGACAAAATGGAACACACCAGCAGTGTGAGGAGACCTGAAAGTGGCACATGGCAGAGTGTGGCGATGGAGACAGCAGCAATGGGAGGCCGTACAGGGACCCATGAGAGACTCTGGACCTGGCAGCAGCATGAGGAGGCGGGAGTGCCAGGGGCCCATGACAGATTACGGGCCTGGCAGCAGCATGAGGAGGTCGGTACGGGGGCCCATGGCAGATTACGGGCCTGGCAGCAGCAATGGGAGGCCCGTAATCTGCCAGCACCCTATGACAAAAAAATGGAACACACCAGCAGTGTGAGGAGACCTGAAAGTGGCACATGGCAGAGTGTGGCGATGGAGACAGCAGCAATGGGAGGCCGTAAAGGGACCCATGAGAGACTCTGGACCTGGCAGCAGCATGAGGAGGCGGTACAGGGGCCCATGGCAGATTACGGGCCTGGCAGCAGCAATGGAGGCCCGTAATCTGCCAGCCCGTACCCCCTATGACAAAATGGAACCCACCAGCAGTGTGAGGAGACCTGAAAGTGGCACATGGCAGAGTGTGGCGGCGATGGAGACAGCAGCAATGGGAGGCCGTACAGGGACCCATGAGACACTCTGGACCTGGCAGCAGCATGAGGAGTCGGTACGGGGGCCCATGGCAGATTACGGGCCTGGCAGCAGCAATGGGAGGCCCGTAATCTGCCAGCACCCTATGACAAAATGGAACCCACCAGCAGTGTGAGGAGACCTGAAAGTGGCACATGGCAGAGTGTGGCGATGGAGTCAGCAGCAATGGGAGGCCGTACAGGGACCCATGACACACTCTGGACCTGGCAGCAGCATGAGGAGGCGGTACAGGGGCCCATGGCAGATTACGGGCGAAGCTGGCAGCAGCAAATGAAGGCCGTAATCTGCCAGGCCTATGTTAAAAAAATTAACATGTTTGGGAGCATGATTCATGGCGGATTTAGCAGTTGTGTCAGGAATGGTGGAGAAATCCAGACTAATCCACGCCTGATTCATTTTCACAGGGACCCATGAGACACTGGTCTCTCCACACTTTGGGTGGACAGTCGTGTCCTCCGCGGAGTTACAATACCTTCCTGCCGCACTAAACACGCGCTGGGCAGATGCCACGCTAGGCCCGTAATCTGCCAGACAGCCTTTCAAGGGCAAATTCAGCTAGTTGGGGCCAGACCTGGTCAAGTTTTCGTTGCCCATAGCAAGGGGATTGTCTACCTCGGTTGGCAGGGTGCAGCCAAGTAGGCCCGAGCCTGTTGTTTGAGGTCCTGCTCCAGGTCCACCTGATGCTGCTGCTGCTGCGGCAGGTTAGTAGTTTCCTCACTGCGCTGGTGTAGAAAGGGCTACTCATCATCGATGCAGGGCCTGAGCAGCTGCTGCTGGTGGAGCTGCCACTGCTCCTACCACCCCACCCCTCCCCTGCTGCCATGGCAGCGGAAAACGCGAGCGCACAGGGCCCACAGTGTCTGAGGATGGGTACGTTGGCGCAGAAAGGCAGAGACCATGACTGACTACAGCAGGTGGTTTTTATAGTACTTTTATTTTGGCCTCCCTCTCAGCAGGTGTGTAAAAGGCCACCATTTTTGAACGCAGTGTGCGAGAGACCTGGTCCAACAGAGGTGACAGGCGAAAAGTCATCCCTCTGTCTGATGGTTAGGCGGCTGTCGCTACGCAAGCAACCGAGCATGCTATGGGCCATTTGTGCCAAGGAATGCGAGGGACTCCCTGCCTCCATCTCCACAGCATACTGCCACAGGTGCGTCTGGGGCCCATGTTACGGGCCTGGCAGCAGCAATGGGAGGCCCAGATGCTCCTGCTCCTCCCACTCCTGTCCGCTGAGTGGAAAAACCAGCATTTCACTCAAGACCTGAAAGTAATTCCTGAGCACCAATGTCCTCCTCTACCTCCTCCATGCTTCTTCCTGTCCTGCCCCCACAGGGGTCATGTGGCGTTGAGATCTGGCGCAGCATGTCTACCGGACCCTGACCAGCCAATTGTTAACAGCATTTGTTCCAGGACGTGCAACAGAGGAATGACGTCGTTCATCCCATAGTCCTCCGACTCACGAATAGCGTGGCCTCCTCAAAGGGGCAAGCGGCAGGTTTACGGGCCTCACGCATGAGCTGCCAATGCCAGCACATCTAAGTTACACAGGGGAGTACCTTTATCCAGCAGTGTGAGGAGACATGAGGGCATCGGTGAGTGTGGCCTTTCGCTGACGTAGCAATGGGAGGCTAACCATACAGGGTTGAATTCCACCTTGTTGCAACCTGTCACAGCATGAGGAGGCGGTACGGGGGCCCATGGCAGATTACGGGCCTGGCAGCAGCAATGGGAGGCCCGTAATCTGCCAGCACCCTATGACAAAAAATGGAAACCACCAGCAGTGTGAGGAGACCTGAAAGTGGGCACATGGCAGAGTGTGGCGATGGAGACAGCAGCAATGGGAGGCCGTACAGGGACCCATGACACACTCTGGGCCTGGCAGCAGCAGCATGAGGAGGCGGTACAGGGGCCCCATGACAGATTACGGGCCTGGCAGCAGCAATGGGAGGCCCGTAATCTGCCAGCACCCTATGACAAAATGGAACCCCCAGCAGTGTGAGGAGACCTGAAAGTGGCACATGGCAGAGTGTGGCGATGGAGACAGCAGCAATGGGAGGCCGTACAGGGACCCATGAGAGACTCTGGACCTGGCAGCAGCATGAGGAGGCGGTACACGGGGGCCCATGGCAGATTACGGGCCTGGCAGCAGCAATGGGAGGCCCGTAATCTGCCAGCACCCTATGACAAAATGGAACCCACCAGCAGTGTGAGGAGACCTGAAAGTGGCACATGGCAGAGTGTGGCGATGGAGACAGCAGCAGCAGCAATGGGAGGCCGTACAGGGACCCATGAGAGACTCTGGACCCTGGCAGCAGCATGAGGAGGCGGTACAGGGGCCCATGGCAGATTACGGGCCTGGCAGCAGCAATGGGAGGCCCGTAATCTGCCAGCACCCTATGACAAAATGGAACCACACCAGCAGTGTGAGGAGACCTGAAAGTGGCACATGGCAGAGTGTGGCGATGGAGACAGCAGCAATGGGAGGCCGTACAGGGACCCATGAGAGACTCTGGACCTGGCAGCAGCATGAGGAGGCGGTCGGTACGGGGGCCCATGGCAGATTACGGGCCTGGCAGCAGCAATGGGAGGCCCGTAATCTGCCAGCACCCTATGACAAAAAATGGAACACCAGCAGTGTGAGGAGACCTGAAAGTGGCACATGGCAGAGAGTGTGGCGATGGAGACAGCAGCAATGGGAGGCCGTACAGGGACCCATGAGAGACTCTGGACCTGGCAGCAGCATGAGGAGGCGGTACAGGGGCCCATGGCAGATTAGGGCCTGGCAGCAGCAATGGGGGAGGCCCGTAATCTGCCAGCAAGCCCGTAATCTGCCAGCACCCTATGAAAAATGGAACCACAGCAGAGGAGACTTGAAAGTGGCACATGGCAGAGTTAACATGTTTGGGGCATGATTCATGGCGGATTTGTCAGTTGTGTCAGGAACTGGTGGTTTGAAATCCAGACTAATCCACGCCTGATTCATTTTCACAAACGTGAGTCTCTCCACACTTTGGGTGGACAGTCGTGTCCTCCGCGGAGTTACAATACCTCCTGCCGCACTAAACACGCGCTCCGATGCCACGCTACTGGCCGGGCATGACAGCCTTTCAAGGGCAAATTCAGCTAGTTGGGGCCAAAGGTCAAGTTTCGTTGCCCAGTAGTCAAGGGGATTGTCTACCTCGGTTGGCAGGGTGCTGTCCAAGTAGGCCCAAGCCTGTTGTTTGAGGTCCTGCTCCAGGTCCACCTGATGCTGCTGCTGCTGCTGCGGCTGGTTAGTAGTTTCCTCACTGCGCTGGTGAAGAAAGCTACTCATCATCGACTGCAGACTGAGGCAGCCGCTGCTGGTGGAGCTGCCACTGCTCCTACCACCCCACCCCTCCCCTGCTGCCATGGCAGCGGAACGCGAGCGCACAGGGCCCACAGTGTCTGAGGATGGACGTTGGCGCAGAAAGGCAGAGACCAACTGACTACATAGGTGGTTTTTATAGTACGTTATTTTGGCCTCCCTCTCAGCAGGTGTGAAAAAGGCCACCATTTTTGAACGGTAGCGAGGGTCCAACAAGGTGGACAGCCAAAAGTCATCCCTCTGTCTGATGGTTATTATTCGGCTGTCGCTACGCAAGCAACCGAGCATGCTATGGGCCATTTGTGCCAAGGAATGCGAGGGACTCCCTGCCTCCATCTCCACAGCATACTGCCACGGTGCGTCTGGGTCCTCTGTCTCCTCCTCCTCCTCTACCAGATGCTCCTGCTCCTCCACTCCTGTCCGCTGAGTGGAAAAAAACCCACCCATTTCACTCAATAATTCCTGAGCACCAATGTCCTCCTCTACCTCCTCCTCTTCTTCCTGTCCTGCCCCCACAGGGGTCATGTGGCGTTGAGATCTGTGCGCCACGTCTACCGCACCCTGACCAGCCATTGTTAACAGCATTTGTTCCAGGACGTGCAACAGAGGAATGACGTCGTTCATCCCATAGTCCTGCCGACTCACGAATAGCGTGGCCTCCTCAAAAGGGCCTGAGCAAGCGGCAGGTGTCACGCATGAGCTGCCAATGGCTGACATCTAAGTTACACAGGGGAGTACCTTTATCCGCTTGTAACATCAGGAAATCGGTGATGGCCTTTCGCTGTTCGTAAAGGCGGTCTAACATATGTAGGGTTGAATTCCACCTTGTTGCAACGTCGCAGATCAGGCGATGCTGTGGAATTCCGTTCTGCCGCTGCAGCTCAAGGAGGGTGTGCTTTGCGGTGTAGGAATGGCTGAAATGCATGCAAAGTTTACGTGACATTTTAAGGATGTCTTGCAGTGGGATGGTGGATTTTAGGAACCGCTTGACAACCAGATTGAACACGTGAGCCATGCATGGCGCATGGCACAACCTTCCTTGACGCAGAGCAGACACCATGTTCTTTCCGTTGTCGGTCAACATGGTTCCGATTTTCAGTTTGCGCGGAGACAGCCATCTGTCGATTTCTCTGTTCATTACACTCAGAAGTTCCTCTCCCCTGTGTGACTACGTTCGCCAAGGCATACCAGGTGCAGCACAGCGTGACACCGTTGCGCCCTGCACATGTGATATGCCGGTCGGGTAATGGGACTTGGCACGGGGGTGGCGGCTGAGGGACACGGCGGAAGAAGAGGTGGTAGAGGCGGACATCTTTGCTGGACCAAGGACGTGCAAACGTGGAGGCAAAAGCGGCGTGACCTGTCCAAGTTGCTGGTGCGGCTGTGCCGGCACCACGTTCACCCAGTGGGCCGTAAATGACATGTACTGTCCCTGACCGTAGTTACAGCTCCACACGTCGGCGCTGC